AACTTTTGAAACCACTCACGACACGTTCTCTCACTCAAAGTAGTCTCACCATATACTTCTACGAGAAATCGATGCGCCTCAGCAGCAGATTTCTTTATATTAAAGAAGTAAACTAATATTTCCCGCAAGTGACGCTTATTTGGCTCAAATTTGGACATTTTCAACTAAAAAAAATTATATTTTACCAATATGAAATCAATAATATTAGTAGGTTATGTTGTTCTTAAACGTCCAAACTAATTTTTAAGCAGGATATCATCTGCGAAAGTTAACGGAAACTCCGCGCCGCGCTATCTACATTAAAACGGCGAAAACTTATTTGTACACCTAATATTGTCGAGATCATGTGTACGTTCCTTTTGCCATTATTCCATACTTGTAATAAAATATGGGCATTTCTAAGAAATTGATGTTGGCCTCTTGAAAGTTTGGCAGTTTGAAGTATTTGAGGAAGACCTCTGTTCTTTCGAATCGTCCCGCAAACTCGCAATTTATTTTTTAAAAAAATTTTAGCCATGTTGACACTATTACAGTAATTATCTTGATATATATGGTACCACATGTTCTTATACGGTCCAATGACCGATAATACAGTCTCTTCTAATTTTTTTTCATCAGCGGCATACACACAAAAGTTGGATACGTATCCTGTACGAGCTTCAGACAGCAGTCTGATCAGTATTCCGTATTTTGTGATTTTTGCGGGATTATATGTTTTGATTGACAGTCTACCTCTCCACGGAATTAAACATTCATCTAGAGACAATTGTTGATCTGATTTATATACGTTGTTAAATTTTTCCTTGAAATAATCGATGACAGGCTGGACCTTCACCAGCCTATGCGAATTGGGAGAAAAATCGTTATTGTTACAAAAATGCCAGCTTTGCATTATTTGTAAAAATCTGTTTCTGCTCATAACCTTAGAGAAGAACGGCGTTTCTATAGATGGGTCTGTAGACCAATAATCGTAGAGAACGTCCTTCTTTACTTGTCCCATGAGAACGATCAGGCCCAAAAATGTCTTCATTTCAGTCCATTTTTTCGTTTTTGATGTAATTCTATATTTTTCCACATTTTCCAAAAAAGTTCACTTCCAATGAATAAATTCCCAATATCTATGACGCTTTCAGAGGAACTTGGCATAATTTTTACGCCAGAGCTGCCTTCGAAAGGTTCCAAAATTATATTCTTGTCGTTCGTTGATCATGTACCATTGTTGTCTTCAACGTTATCATTTATGCCCTCGTCTTCTGAATCACTGTATATTAGCGGTACAGGACGTCTCTTTCGAATCGCTATACTACTGCTATCACTTTCGTCATCAGTACTACTTGCTGAACGGCAGTCAAGACAATCTGACAGGTCGTCGAGATAAAACTCACCGACATTATCCTTTTCATTCATTTTTAAGGGCTAAAGCTTAGAGAAAAGCACCGATTATCTGAATAAAGAATGCGAAATGCTTGCTGCTTGCTACTTGTCAGTCTAGCCTAACCAAATCTAACAGAAAGATCAAAAGTCGATTAATCGACGACCAGTCGGTAAAGTGTTAAGAGAATTCGTGAATACAAATATTGTTAACATTTTATAACTGGAATATATATGTAGGATTCGTGAAAAAAATTGGGCCGTTGGACTGACTGAACCGGGACTTTTTGGATTGACTTTTCTGGGCGACTGCTTTTTATCCATTGAGCTATCCAGGGCCCACGTCCAATCTTCACGAATGCCTATTTAAGAATTTGGCATGGAGGCGCTCGTCCCACATTCTTTTCTCCTGCAACAACATTCGACCCCGAATGTTCCGTCATTTTTAACCTTCATTTAAACTATCTATCCCCTTTTTACGTCGTACGTCTCAATCTTGAACGCGGCGCTGCTGTTGGACGCTTGAGGTCGTCATTGCCTATTTTCCCAGCCAACCGTTCAGCGCCGCTACCATCGTCTAATCGTTCTTGATAGATCTTTTAATTAATTATTTTTCTCTCGTTGTTGCATGATTGTAGAAGTGTGTTACGATGCAAAACCTCCATTGCCTTTCTTTATGGGCTTCATCACCATACACATCACGTATCTTTTTTGCGGCTTGCACTGCGTTCTTTCCTTTATGGAAATAATAAAGCAAAATATTGCGAAAATGTTCGTTTTTGCACTCCATATTAATATTGAAATAAAGAAAGATCATTAAGATAATATCTACGCAATGATTTTATAACGCTAAGTAAGGATCACAGATAACGAATATAATAACAAGAAAATCACAACATTAACGAGTATTATAAAAATGGGAGTGAGAAATCTATAATCAAAATCGGCAATTACTTTCTTGCCAACCCCATATTTATTGTTATTAAATGTAATATAATCTTATTAAAAATAATATGTCTATATATTCTATAGATTTTATATATTCTTAGCATTATAGCATATATTATATGGACCGTTTATTTTGAAAGTGGTAAAAGTCCATTTTTTTTAAAAAATGTGATATCACTTAATTTATACTTAATTATAAGTATATGTTGCAAATATGTTGGATAAGGTTTCGAAAAAGTGCACCATATACTATTTTATATAAAATGTTGATGAAAAATACAGAACATAAGACTTAAAACTTATCACCTACATGTCCGGAAAAACCAGTCACAATTTGTAAAAATCGCCTGGTACATTTGTATCACGATGCTATGCCTATTTCTTACGAAAAATATAAGAATATCGAGCAGGTACTACACTATATACTTCCTGTGCATCATAAATATTTAAAAACACTGCTACATGAAGAGCATAAATAAATACTACTAATAATGTTAAATTTATCAATATAATTAACGTTAAAAATAAAAAATACTACTTCTACTTTATTTCTTGTTATTATTTGTAAACAAAATTGGATTAATATGAAATATATTTTAAGTAATATTTGATTTTTCAAAACTGAAATTAAACGATTTTAACAATTGACTAATTTTGAAAGTGGTCCAAGTAAGTCCATTTGCAGCTTTTAAATATACATTATTTTAATTAAATTTGCCTAAAAGTAATGTATATAATCAAATTACATATCAATAAATTAATGGAAACATTGTAAAACTTGATATAATTAATGAATATTTTTAAATTAACCAATATGCAAATCTTTAATATTCTCAAAAGAACAGAAAATGGATTTACAACATTTTCAAAATAAACGGTCCATATATCTTAGTATATAACTCAACGAGAGAAGTTATTGTAAGGATTAATATATTTTTTATCTAACGATATTCGTTTTCGTCTATCAGGCATGTAAGATTTAAACATTTCTTATCTATTTATTTATAAGATTTATTTTGATATAATGAGATGTGTGATATAGCATATAACAGTAAGTATCTATAATCCAAATTAATAACTAATTAACTCATTGTGTTATGTTTTACTATTAAACCTTTAAATAAATGAAGATTCCGTCGTAATCAATCCTTCGTTGTCGTCATCTTTTACACTACAACACTCATCATAAGGACACTCCCATATCAGAACATAACAGCACCTATCAGAACGCAATCATACTGCAACCACTGACCATTTATGACATCTATTTATACCTTATATCCCCCCATCGTCTCTCCTCATCTCCTTGAAATTCCTCGTGAAACCTACCGACCAATCCCGATCATAAAAATACTAGTTTCTTCCTGCACTTTCGGATTGGGAACGCCCAAGTGATTTCAGTGGAATCAACCAAGGGCGGTAAGTTCAAACAGTGTCATATACAAACAAAACATACACACCCGTCTAGAAAACCAATTTCTGTCTCTTCCATCCTATAATAAACACTCTCACACACTATACCCATATCATCACACATATGACGAATAAAGAGTTACATTTCTTTAGTAGTACTTATAAAGAAACAATATCAATTATTCTATCAATTATTCTATCAATAATTCTAGAAACATCGATACGCAAACGTCTTGAATTCTCTCTCTCACCCTCACAAACATTTTATGCCAGTCAATAAGGGGCAAATAAGTACTTGGAGAGCTAAAAAAATGAAAATTTGATATTTATGGTAATTCGACGACGTTGAATCGAATGGAGCAAATTTTTTTGCATTTGGATGGCGCAACTCCGAGAAAAAGGGTAAAAAACGGCCGTATCTTAGAATCTAGGCATTTAATCGAAAAAAGTTTCAAACAAAAGTTGTGAAGAATTAAAAAATACATAAAAAAGGTTCTAAAGTGTATCTTCGTATTTGCAAAAATAAGCGAGCAAATGAAGGTGAAAGGTAATTGTAAGAGTGGGGGCAAGCCACGCCTCTTCGTCGGTCTTTACACGCGAGCGAGCTAGTGTGCGTTATTTTAGGGTCTCTCGGTCATTAATACGAGTGCGAGTGAAAAAAGAAATGGATATTTCTCTCTTTCTATTTGTTTAAGCGATAGCGAGTATTTTTGTTTAAGCCATCGATTGTTGAGTGTTCTGTATTATATATTTCTGATATTTTTTCATGCTGTAGCGAGAATTTTTCGTTTTGACGATCGAGTGTCGAGCGTTTTGTATATCTATATATATATCAGCGTATAAGCGCGGCATTTTTATATCGAATCTTGATGCTTATGGCACGCCGTTTTTTTATTTATTAACAAAAATAGTGAACCTTGATTAAAAGAAAAACAATAATTCATTTTAACAAAAACTAAAATAAAAATAAAAAAATAAAATAAAGTAAAAGTAATGAATTATTTTGTATCTCGACATAAAATTAATTTGTACAAATAATTGATATAAATTTTTTGCCCCACAAAAATTTATCTGTATATCAAATTG